AGAGAGAGAGAGAGAGAGAGAGGCCCAAAGCTGTCTCATTCCCAGCCGAGAGAGAGAGAGAGAGAGAGAGAGAGAGGCCCAAAGCTGTCTCATTCCCAGCTGAGAGAGAGAGAGAGAGAGAGAGAGAGGCCCAAAGCTGTCTCATTCCCAGCTGAGAGAGAGAGAGAGGCCCAAAGCTGTCTCATTCCCAGCTGAGAGAGAGAGAGAGGCCCAAAGCTGTCTCATTCCCAGCTGAGAGAGAGAGAGAGAGGCCCAAAGCTGTCTCATTCCCAGCTGAGAGAGAGAGAGGCCCAAAGCTGTCTCATTCCCAGCTGAGAGAGAGAGGCCCAAAGCTGTCTCATTCCCAGCTGAGAGAGAGAGAGAGAGAGAGAGAGAGAGAGAGAAGCCCAAAGCTGTCTCATTCCCAGCTGAGAGAGAGAGAGGCCCAAAGCTGTCTCATTCCCAGCTGAGAGAGAGAGAGGCCCAAAGCGGTCTCATTCCCAGCCCTGAGTACCAGCGGTGGGAAGGCAGGCGGCACCCTGAGTTGACTTGAAAGGGTTCTCATCTGTGCTGGTTGCTGGAAACTGCTCACGGCTCCCTGAGAACCCTGCGTGCGGCGGCGGCAGGTCACGCCAAGCCTCAGAGAGCCTGTGGAACTTGAACTGTGACAGCAATTTCCCTCGCTCAAGAGGAACTCTGTTAGATAAGAAATTGAGCACGCCTTTCTCCTTTGCCATATGGTGCTGCGGTATCATTTAAATTCAAAAAAGCCAAATTCCATAGCCTGAGAGTTGCAGTTGGTAGACATTCCTAATCGCTTCACTGATATAAGTAGGTACAGAGGAAGCATAATAATTGAAGTGAAAACCATGCTTTCAGAAGCTGATAGAAAAACCACCAAATCTAAGGTTTTGTACCTTCTACTTCAAAGCAAAGACTCAGACAACAAGGTACCAAGGGAACAGCCAAGACAGACTGGTACCATCAGCAAAGTCACTTAAAAAAACAGGAAGCTGTACTGATGACCAACTATTTGGAACCCTTCAAAATGAGACTGATAATGGCAAGATCTTCAGATCAACAGAAAAAATCTATTAAGCCCTAATTCCTACAGATATTGCTAATGTTAATAAAAGCCGTGATTGATAAGAGGGGATGAGAATGCAGCCACGCTACTTTGACAGAGGAGTTTGCACTACACCACAAAAAGAATTTCAAGAGGCATTCGCTAAAGATCAATAAATACACCTCGAATCGTAAGGCTCAGAATTACAGCTTACGGGTCCTGGTAGAGGTTTAGAAAACTCACTATTTTAATTTTCATCAAATCCAAGAAAGCGAGTTCTGAGAAACCCCAGCAGTTCCCTCTCCCCGAGGCTCAAAAGAAATAGAGGATGAGGATGCATAATTCAGAGATGGGAGGAAAGACTTGGTTGCCGTTCTCAGCAACTGTGAGGGAAACAGAGTTTGAGAGGACAAATAAAGATGCTCTTATATGCTCTGTTGGAAGAAGCCTCATGTCTGTACCAGTCCAAGTTTCTCCAGTTGGAAAAGGAGGACAAAAGAAAGAAGAAGGAAGGCAGGAGGCAAAGAGGGAGGAGAAAGGAGGAAATCAACTTAAGTCACAGAGCTAGTTTGCCTTCAGGTACTGCTTGATCCAGGCTCAACACTGTCACTGGGGAAAGCGTCATTGCTTTCTGTCGTTCTGCCTGACTCATGCAGGACAGGCTCTGTTCTAGGCAAGGCCTTCCTTTTGTAAAGCAACAGAGAAAGCTCATGGGCCTCCACCAGCTGTTTCCCTCTGACTCCTCTGCGATAGAATCCCTGATGAGTAGAAGGCACGAGCGATTTCCAGAAAGCGTCTTTGAGCTCTGCACCGCTTCCTGCGCCCTGCTTCCCGGAAACGCAGACAGGCAGGACCATCAGGCAGGGCCGTGTGGCAAGGATGCCTGAGCAGGAAGGAAGGAAGCCCCTCCTGACCACCCGGAGCCACCACGCAGCCCTGGGTGCTCGCCTCCAGGGTTCATTTATTAGGGAGAAAGTACATCTCAATCTCATTCATATTTTTGTGGTTTTGGACTTTCCTGTATTATAGCAAAATCAAACCTTAATTAATCATGTTGCAAAAGGCTTACCACAGCTGCAGGCTTCCATCCTACAGCTGCCCGTTTCCGGTAGCCCTGCAGAGTCCCCTCTGTGCCTAGCAGTGGCTCTGCTTGGGTCGTGGGTCAATCCCTGGGCCAGTCCCTGTGGCCTGACATTCTGCTGGTTAGACAGAGCTGTGCCCACTGCCAGAACCGCATTCTGCTGGTTAGAGAGAGCTGTGCCCACTGCCAGAACCGAAGCACAATCTCAGAGTCAGGGAGGTGGCCTGGAGGGACAACAAGGGCCACAATGCACCCCAAGCCAGATCTGCTGACTTCTACGAAAGAGAACGATTCTTCTGGGCTCCCAGTTCTCCATACGTCATCGGTACCCACGTACCCTGTGGGTTTTCACTGCTCAATGCCACCTTTTCGCCACCAGAAAGCGAAGCCAAAGAGACAACTACAAATGACACTTTCCTTTTCCACAGAGCGGTGTTTGGGGTGAGGATGAATGAAAAGTGTATGCCCATAATTTCTGGAGAAAACTATCTTAGTAACTCTTACAAGCAAGATGGTTCAAAGAACACAAGTCAACAGAACAACTGACCGACGCTGCTCACAAGTGCAGAAGGCCTGAAGGACAAGGGAGACTGAGGGACTGTCACGGATCCGAGCAGATATGGGAGGGGGTGGAGTCTAGGGTGGCCGGACAGGGTCTCCAGTCCCTGGTTTTGTTTTTTGTTTATTTTTTACAGCAGAATATGGAAAAGATGATGGAACATCACTTCTGTCATTATGTTACATCACTCAAGAGCTCTCTCGTGCCAGCTGCCTTTGAGGAAGCAAGTGGCCTTGTTGGGAGGCCCACAAAGCAGGGGGCTGAGAGCAGACCCAAGGGCTTTCAGCCACAGCTGGAGGCTGTAGGAGCCCTGACTCCTACAGTCTCCAGGGACTGGAGTCTGCCAACACCCAAGTGAGCAAGGGCGCAGCTTCTTGCCAGTCTAGCCTCCTGATTGACAGCCTTCTGAGCCCCCAAGCACAGGAATCAGCTAAGACTCGGGCTTTCGACCCACGGAAACCAAGAGACGATAAATGTGTGCTAAATTCCTGTGGCAATTTATAAAAATAATAAACGCTCATCAAGATAGAAAAGCCAGCTAGGGACAAGTGGACAATCCCACTAGCTGCCTGAGCCCCCCAGAGCACACATTTCTCATTTCCACCCTGACGCTCACTGTCTCAGCTGGAGTCATCTGCAGTTGTATTCTTAGCTATTATGATTATTTGAGGACAACGCGTACATAAAAGATCTTTCCCTCCGCTCTCCCTACAACTTCTGCTCATAAACAGCATCACTCTCTTTCTTTTCCCTCTGTACCGCCTTTTCTCCTCTCACCATCTCTTCCCTTTGGGATGTGTAAGGAGGGTTGTGCAGGATCCTCCAGGGTCTGGTGTGGCCACTGTTTTTATATTCTGGACAGTAGCTCACAAAACCCACCCCTACCTCTTCAAACTTTTAGTAGTGCAAATCTTAGATTCCATCCAGAATTATTCTCCCAAATCTTGGACTCCATCCAGAAGTAAATCTTAGATTCCATCCAGAAGTAAATCTTAGATTCCATCCAGAAGGAATCTCCCAAATCTGCTCATATCTCTGCAGCAGCATCTGAGCCCACAGCCAAGATGTGACTGGTGACCGCAAGAGGATTTTACAATAAAGGGAGTCTGGGCCTACTGTTTAAAACGTAAATCAGGTGCACACCTTGGCAAAAACATTGTAGAGATCAGAAACTTTATTTTTAAACTGTAGGCCATTTTATAAACTATCGCTTGGAAAATAAATAACTCACATAAAATCTGAATCCCAAATAAAAGCAGAATAATAGATGATGATACCAAATTGATCAAAATGTACTGTGTGTGGTTAAGAAGGGCATAAATATTAATTAAATAAACACCTTACCTTCATCCTGGTTAAAAACCTGTTAAATGCAGAGGGCACCTTCAGAACCATTCTTTGTCCCTTGCCCTGGCATTGTAAAGTCCCCGTGTGGATCGCAAGCACGACAATATTTGGTCAGTGCTTACCGCCTACTCCACGCTTACTAGACCGTCTGTACTAATAATCTATTCTGCCTTCAGGGTGTTCAGCTTTCCAAATAGACTCAGAACTTCTCATCTCCTACTACTAAAGCAGATGTACAAAGCAATAATTATGAGTAGCACGTAAGAGAAATAGCTTTTAGTTGAAGGGCACAGGGATGAATAGGGAAAGCAGAGAACTAAATGAAAGCCTTTATTATGCTCCTAGTAGTTACTTTACCCCTTCATTATTTTTATTAAATAATGTACAAGATTTGGATTTCTCATTTCGAAATTATTTACTTTTCACAAGTTAATTTTAAACAGAATCGTGAGGTTTCTCGTGTATGAGGGATCTTCAGAAAATGCATAGAAATGCATATTTTGAAAGACTATGCATAGATTTCAAGAACTTTTTGGCACTCAAACTTATCTTTCAATTCCCTTTTCTACAAACTTTTTTCAAAAAAAAAAAAGATTTATTTATTTATTTCTTTGAAAAGCAGAATGACAGCTGGGAACTCAATCCGGTCTCCTATGTGGATGGCAAGAACCAAGTACATGGACCATCATCTGCCCTCCTCTGCACATTAGCGAGAACCAGAGGTACCAGGGCACAAACCAGCACTCTGACATGAGATGTGGGCATCCCAGTGGCGGCTCAGCCCACTGAACCACAAAGGCCACCCGTCCACAAACTTTTTATAGTCCTGGGTGTGTAGATTTAATGAATGTATGTGAATTTAATGAGTGATCTCAATTTAGAACTTGAAACTCGAGAAGCGATCAATTTAATTTTAAAGCTAATACTTTAGGTTTGTTGGCATATCTGGAACAAGATTTTGTTCTCACCATTGTTTTGTTGGGTTCTCAGTGTTAGAACGAAAGGGAGTCCAGCTCCAGCCGTGCGTGTCCAGTGGCCGATGGCAGGTGGGAGAAGGCTGCCCATGGCAAGTTGGTTGAATAGCTGACAGACTGCTTTCAGCCCACATCCCTAGGGTAGAAAGAGAAGAGTTAGTGGCGCTCCTTATTCCTGCCAAGAGCCATTGGGAAATGGCATTCCCCCAGAGGGAGTGTCTGGAAAGAAGGAATGAGAGTACAAGAAGTATCAGGCTTCTGTGGAATGTTTTCAAGTTTCAGTAGCCAAGAAAGACTGAATGCATTCCGTGTGTTTGTGTGTGTGTGTGTGTGTGTGTAACAGAAGATTAAAGAAAATCTATATATTTTGAGTCTAGATTTTACTTCTCAATTCATGAATATACAAGACCATGCTAAATATATTGCATTTTGTACATGATCCACAAGAAGGGATTACCAAGATTGAATTTCATGTGTGGCTTGTCAAACATTCAGCTGCTTTATATTTTGTACCCTGCATGAAAGCATACACACACGTACACACCTTTTGCCACTAAAGACCACACTGCTAAACTACTTTCAACTGAACATGACCTTTGAGTTGTTTTTCAATAGTGGTTTGAGGTTTGCACTGTTATTCCTTCTCATGTGGTTGCCTTTGTGACCCACTGCACACGTTTCCACATTTTCTGGCTGAAGTTACATTTTGCAGCCGAAAAACAGTTTTTCTCAGTGAAAAGCTAAGTGGTTCAATAAGTATAATTACAAAATTTATTGAGCACTGTGTTCAGCACTGTCTGGTGCTTTATTTCAATGAACTCATTTAATCCTGAGAACCCTGTGATATAGACACTATTCTTACTATCAATATTCTTCCTTTTAACAGATAACAAAAATAAGGCACAGAGATGTCACCCAACGGCATGTAGCAAGTAAAAGGGCCAGGACAGAAACTCTGTAAGTCTGCTTCAAGATCCATGCACTCCATCACACCACTTCCACCATTGCTTTATTTTCTACAGATAAATCTCTAACAACTGGTTCTTGAAAAGAGTGAAATAAAATGTAGCTACACAAACAGCAGGAATTGGGGTCAAATGGACAGAATGCCTATTTTGTAGTTAGAAAGACCTGGGACTAGGCCGGCGCCGTGGCTCACTAGGCTAATCCTCCGCCTTGCGGCGCCGGCACACCGGGTTCTAGTCCCGGTCGGGGCGCCGGATTCTGTCCCAGTTGCCCCTCTTCCAGGCCAGCCCTCTGCTGTTGCCCGGGAGTGCAGTGGAGGATGGCCCAGGTGCTTGGGCCCTGCACCCCATGGGAGACCAGGAGAAGTACCTGGCTCCTGCCATCAGATCAGCGCGGTGTGCCAGCCGCGGCGGCCATTGGAGGGTGAACCAACGGCAAAAGGAAAACCTTTCTCTCTGTCTCTCTCTCTCTCTCTCACTGTCCACTCTGCCTGTCAAAAAAAAAAAAAAAAGACCTGGGACTGTGAATTCTCCACTTGCTGGATATCCAAGTGCCCCCTCTCTCCCTCCACGACCCCCATTTCCCAGGCCCCATGACCTGAGTGAGGCCATGTGAGTAGCCTGGCCAACAGGCTGTGAGTGGAAGCGAAGTTGTTCCCCAGTTATCTCTTCATCCGCCAGAGTGACTGAGAAAGCCGCAGCGTCCAGGCCGAGAAGCCTCAGTCAGGCTGGGTCCACTCAACAGAGCCCTGGACCACGAGTGAGGAATCAGTGTTCATCGTGGGAAGCCACTGAGAAATAGAACTAATCTGATTCAATTACAAGTGTTACCAGGTTTTCTGTGTATTCATGGAAACGTTAGCCTACCTCTGTGAGCCTTATTCCCTTCTTAGTTATGATTCCTTAATAACATTTTTAAGATTTATTTTGTTTATTTGAAAGGCTGAGAGAGAGAGAGAGGGAGGGAGGGAGAGAGAGAGTTCTTCCAACCACTGGTTCACTTCCCAGATGGCTACAACACTCAGGCCCGGAATAAGCCAGACAGGAGCCAGGAATCCCACCTAGGTCTCTAGGCGGGTGGCAGGGACCAAGCAGTTGGGCTATCTTCCTTCCCAGGAGCCTTCGCGGGGAGCTGGATTGGAAGTGGAACAGCTGCAAGTCTGGCTCTCCAATATGGGATGCCGGTGTTGCGTGTGGCAGCTTGTCACACATTGCCACATACCGACCTCTCTTTAACAATAATTTAATTCCTTAAATATGAGCACTAATGTTTTATTGGCAGAGTTGACATGAGAATCACCTGAGTGATTTTGCTATGCTTGGCAAGTAGAAGATGTTCAATAAATGGTAGCTATTGTAATCACTCAGTATTTTTTTTTATTTTATTTATTTTTTTTTTTATTTTTTGACAGGCAGAGTGGATAGTGAGAGAGACAGAGAGAAAGGTCTTCCTTTGCCGTTGGTTCACCCTCCAATGGCCGCCGCGGCCGGCGCGCTGCGGCCGGCGCACCGCGCTGATCCGATGGCAGGAGCCAGGAGCTTCTCCTGGTCTCCCATGGGGTGCAGGGCCCAAGCACCTGGGCCATCCTCCACTGCACTCCCTGGCCACAGCAGAGAGCTGGCCTGGAAGAGGGGCAACCAGGACAGAATCCGGCGCCCCGACCGGGACTAGAACCCGGTGTGCCGGCGCCGCAAGGCGGAGGATTAGCCTAGTGAGCCGCTGCACCGGCCCGTAATTACTCAGTATTATGCCACATAAAAGAGAACAGCTTAAGTGACAAGGTATATAAAGAACGCAAGGGACGTTTTCTTATTGGAGTTTACTACTGGATTCCTATAAATCACTTATGACCTATGAAACAGCTAAAAAATATTCCTAATACAACACATAAAAAAGGCAATAATGTACATCTATTTTATAAATACTTTTTTTTGGCACCCAACATCCACACTCTTATCTTTTGTTAACTGTAACTCAAATTCCCTGGAGAAAACTTGATCTTTTCTCTCATCCTCAACCAGTGTGTTCCAGCTGGGGCTCCATTCGACTTACAGGAGGAAGCGCATGATCCGAGGCTAAGTCAACGATCACAGCTCAGCTCCACGCCACAGTTTACGGATGGACACGCTGTCTGCTCACAGCCAATAAAATGCAGTGAGGATGCTGAACAAAAGATATATAGTTTTCTCATTTGAACGTGACATATTCAGAGAGTTGGAGATGGTGGAGCCATCTTGAACCGTGGGCGTGTCTGGGAATGGAACCAACATGGAGGTTAATGGTTGTGACGGAGAAACAGTCTGGTGACAGTGTTGGAGGCCCCTGATCAATCTGTGTCTAAAGCCCAAACAAACACTGGGATTGGCACTGTAGTGGGCTAGTCAATCCTGTTTAACTCAGTGTTAAACAAGGTTTTTATCAGAAGTGAAATTTGGGTATCCCAAAAGCAAAGTGCCAAGTTTTTTTTTTTTTTTTTTTTAATGATTTGTTTGTTTGAAAGAGTTACACACAGGGAGGAGGACAGTCAGAGAGAAGAGAGATCTTCGATCTGCTGGTTCACTTCCCTAGATGGACCCAACAGCCAGAGCTGGGCCCGGCCGAAGTCAGGAGCCAGGAAGATTCATCCAGGTCTCCCATGTCAGTGGCAGGGGCCCAAGCACTTGGGCCCTCTTCACTGCTTTTGCAGGCCATTAGCAGGGAGCTGAAGCAGAAGTGGAGCAGCCAGGACACAAACTGGTGCCCATAGGGGTTGCTGGTGCTGCAGGCTACAGCTTAAGCCACTAAGCCACAAGCACTGGCCCTCCATGTGCCCAGTTCTGACTGCATGTGGGTAAAATTGGTATCACATTAGTCTTTGGGATTCCTTCTCACTCTTAGAGCTCTACAAAGATTCTTTCCTATCATTCTTCCTGGACTTTGCATTGGCCTCTTTATTTTATTACCTCCAAAGTCCACATTCTTGGATTCAGAACTGTCCTTTAGCCAACAGTTGAGTCCACAATTAGGTACATAAAGTTAGGCTTACATGTCTAAACATTAAAACTTCTCATGTAATTAAGAATTTTCCAAAATGACAAATTTACAACCAGAATGTATTTCTTTCTCTCTCATTTAAGCAAAGCCTTGCATATAAGTAAAACATTCTTCAGAGGATTCATACGTTTTGCTCAAGAAATATAGATATTTTAATTAACACTGTGTTTCTTTATCTTAAGAAGAGAATGTATACAGCATACTGGAACTTGTTCTCACTTTCAGCTCATAAATTTATTGCGTGAGATTTTATAAACCGTATTGTAATAACCAGGAACTACAAGTGATATTTTTCAGACTGGATTACTTTCAATTCACCATTCTCCTGTGACAGGATCACACACCCATTTTCTTTGCCATCAGACTTTGAGAAGATTCCTGGGAGCATGCTAATACATGCAGCTCTACCACATTGATGTTGGATTTCTCCATACACCTTGTTTTGGTTAATGAAGTATCAGTAAGCATTGTCCTACAGGAGACAACTTGGCATGGTTCTTGAACTTCTATCTTCTGTACTGAGAAAAGTAGGATCTGAATAGCGGCTGGGAGCCAGGAAACTGAGGGGAGTCATGTAGAAGACCTTAACCCTCCCTACACTACAGCTAACTCCAGCTGCCCAACAGAATCGCAAATTACCCACAGGCCTATGTGTGAAAAATAACTATTTATTCTCGTAAGTCAAGAAGTTCTGAAGTTGTTTGTTATGCAACATCATTATATCAGTAGCTGATTAATACAACTCGACATTAATACAGCTCTTTAAGTATTACAGTGTTAAGTACTCTTGTCTCTGATCCTTTGTTTCATCCTGGGCATCTAAAACCTATTTTGTAATCAAAATTCTTTACCTTTACAATACAGAATGATGGTGAACTGTAAGGCAATACTAGGGTATCCAGAACCGAGTTTTAATCATGACTTGGCCACTTATTTCTGTCACAAGTTATTTAACCTTTGTGTACTTTTCAGTTATCTATAAAATGCGGGTTTGAGGCCGGCGCTGTGGCTCACTAGGCTAATCCTCTGCATGCGGCGCCCGCACAGCGGATTCTAGTCCTGGTTGGGGCACCGGATTCTGTCCCAGTTGCTCCTCTTCCAGTCCAGCTCTGCTGTGGCCCGGGAGTGCAGTGGAGG